TATATATATATATATATATATATATATATATATATATAATTATTTTCTTTGTCTTCTGGTTGTTAATAGGTGTTTGAATACAAGAGGGACTATGAAACAGTTTTTGAGGTCAATGGGATTAGAGGGAAATTGTAAAGGCAACAAAAATGTTACCAAATAATAGCGTAAGATACAAAGTATAGTAGATTTAAGACATCTTTGTAAAAGAACAACTGTTATGAGCTGTTTCTAGACCAGAACAAACTCAGACAGACAACCACAGGCTATGGGTGACCCATTAAAGACTTCAGTGTTTCCCCTCTGAAAACTAAAGGATACTGTATGCGTCTTATTTTAAATATGCTTTATTGTCCCAGATTTTCCTATAAAATTTAAAATAAATTTTTTGTTTTGTTACTGAAAGGCAGATTTTGAAATGCTATAGCCTATAGCCTTTGTAATGCTTGCATAATCAAAACAAAAAGATGGAGCTGTGAATCATTTGTTATTTTATGTGTACTAATTATATCTACTCTTTACACTATTATTCATGACTTCAGTTCTGAGGTTAGGATTGTGCCTCTTTTTACCCAGCAGGTGTTTAGCCCTAAAATATTTGTTTGTTCAACATTGTTGGCCCAAGTACCTGTGACTGTGGGCACTAACTAACCTCTTTCTAAATACACACACATAAGTACATGTACACACTCTATTGATGGCATTTTTTCAACATGTGGTATAACCTAAAATAAAACCTTAAACATGGTGGTGTTCTGAAGAAACAAACCGAGAAGTGATTTTATTTAAAGCCCAAGATTCTTTAAATAAAAGGCGCGGTTAGGACAAAGAAAAACAAGGCAGCACTGTCCTCGCTCATTTCCCATTTGGTGTTTTTATATCCACACCCTGTATTTTTAGACCAGCAATGAATCAGGGATTTTTATTTTCTCTGCTAAGTCTGGTTTGCCAAAAACATTTGGCGTTGTGGGAGGAGGCTGTTTGCCTCACACAGAGTCTCTGTGTTGGTTCTGGCAGGATGCTTTTGGTTGAAGCAGGCGCAGCGGGCAGCACCCACCCACAAACTGTAGGCAGCATGCAGAGCAGATAGAGGGTGGGCAGGTCCTACAGACACCCAACAGTGGACAGCTTCACTCCGTAAATTAGAATTCATCAAAGGAATGCATATCGACCGTCGCCTTTAATGCCAGAGATTTAAACCAAGATCTTCTTTTCTTGGCCAATGACAGTGGACTTTTCCATCTACTACCATCAGGCAGACGGTACAGGAGCCAAGACCATTATTACCCACAAGCTGTCAGATTACTGAAGTCTTGATGGTAATACTGAACAATTGACAATAACTTTGCACTAAGCCACATCTGTGACAGCTAATATGTTTATTGCTGCTTCACTATGCGGCTGTATCATGTATGTCTCTACCTTACCATCATAATTCAATTAGTCTCAATGTTACTCACTACCTGGGAGTAGTGGCGCAGAGGTTAGAGAACGTAGGCCTGTGATAGGAAGGTAGCTGGTTCAATTCCCGGTACAGACAACCTCTGTCTCCACCCTCATTTGCCCCACTCTGGGCCCTAGAGCAAGGCCCTTAACCCCCACCATCTGCTCCCCCAGGTGCCCTAGATAGCAGCCCTTCGCTCCACACAGGGCTGTGGTAGCTCGGTGGTCTGTGGTTGCGTCAGGAGGGGCATCCGATGTAAAAATAATTGCCAAGTCTTCGTGCAACTCAGTTCGCTGTGGTGACCCCTAAGGGAGCAGCCAAAAGAAGAAGACAAAACTCATTACCTATGCAATAACCTGTCACACAACCCTTGTAGTATATGTTATGTGCATTATATAACATGTACATTTAAGCTAATACCTGTGAAATACTTATTTATTCTATTCCATCCTACTTGCACCGTTATATTCTACCATGTTGTTGTTTACAATATTTCTGTTGGACCTTGTAAATATTGTATTTCTTTTTCACTTTTTGGTACTTTATTTTGTACCCTCATTTTCTTTTTCTTCTTGGCGAGTTGAATCGGTTCTTATCTAGAACAATTTCATTGCATTGTTGACCTTGAGTTAAGCTGCATATGACAAATAACATAGCAGTGTTAAAATTTTGGTCAAACCTTGAAATAGCCTTTTTGTGCAGTCACATGCAATGTTACAAGATGTCTTGTTCAAAGTACGTGTTGAATATTTATAAAACTGAGTTTTAGCCATTTTTGTGTTTGTTAATGTTGATTAGTTTTGGCGGCCATCTTGAGTCGAATTGATTACAATATCAATCTGCTGTAGTTGTCCATCCATTGTTCACCTTTTGAGATTTTTATTCATATTTGTCCTTTTGTTCTTGAGACATTTTGGTAACAGACACACACAGACAAAAGCAAAACCATTATCTTTGTCTTTCAGTGACGGCAATAGACTGTAGCTCAATGAAAACCCCAGATATCGTGATTTAAACTTGAATAAATGAGTGTAATATGAGTGTGACACAAAGAGTAGTCCAACTGTACGTGTCAGTGATTGTGGGCAGCGCTGCTTTATGTTCGTTAGTCTGAGTCAGCTCATGAAAGATCTGGCTCGCAGTGAAGTGCAGCTCTGTTCAGCTGTGGGAGTCGGAGGAACTAGAAAAAAGGCTTTTTGAGATCACAGATTTATGCCTTCCCTTCAGTTGTAACTCACCAGACATTCCTCAAACTGCTGAATCCACTTACTTGTTTCTGGAAGAGCGGTTTTAACTTATCTGAGCACATTAAGAGGGATGTACATGTCTTGATTTAATATAAATTTGTGTTTTCTTGTCAATTTGTGGTTTGCTTGATTCCAGCTCACTGACATTTGTGTTTTGTTCTTTCTGGATTTCCCACCTCGCTTGGCAAAAGGCCGCACTCGTGATCAGAGCAAGAAAAGTTTTATTTCCTCACAAAGTCAAAAAAGGATCTCTGAGGGAGGTTGCTAAAGGATTTCCTCTGAGGTTCTTCAAGTATTTTAACCCTTGACCCAGTTGATAATTGACTTTTTTTAGGCATTTCTTTTAATGTTTTGCTTTAATGTGAGAGCTTGAACAAAGATGCAGAAGGTTTTCATTTTATGTGCCCCAGTTTTCTGAGCTGCCTTAATTAGTGTTGAAAATTAACTCTGCAAGACGTAGCAACCCTCTGAGAGCACGAAGCCAATCAGCAAAACTAATGCACAACTCCCTTCAGGGGAAAAAAAACTTTTTATATGCTTATGTTTTGGGAATTTACCATTCAAAGCAAATGGTGATATTTGCTATTAATAAGAGATTTTTGAATAATTGTTTTGATGGATTGCATATTGTAATCGTGTATAAAATATAACTTTTAAAATGTTAGAAAAATGTTTTTTGACTTGCATTAATGCAGTTGTTTTTGACACATAAACATCTTTTGATGTGCAAATGATTACACTTTAATAATATTCACTTGGCTGAAATTAACCCAGTTTCAACAACAGCGAAGTCGTTTGTGAAAGAAAGCTCAAAAACCGTATTAAATCTTTTTTTAAATTTTTTTATTTACAGATGGTCATTTCACTGGAACCCCTCCATCATATGGTTATGATGCAGATCGGGCAGAGGAGCAGCGGCGGCACCATGACATCCTGCCGTACATCGACGACTCGCCGTCGTCCTCGCCGCACCTCAGCTCCAAGAGCCGGAGCAGCCGAGACACTCTGTCATCCGGATCTCTGGAGTCCTCCAAGTCGGTCAGTGTGCCGTGTTTCCATTTTCTGTAAGATTAGAAAGGTAACTTCTACTTTTAAATCAATTCAATTAGTTTATTTATATAGCACCATATCACAACAAAGTTGTCTCAGGGCACTTTACAGGAACATTCACATGCATAAAAAAGCCAATTAGTAAAGTTTTCTATCTAAGGAAGCCAGCAGATGCATTGAATCTTCACTTCGTTGCAGTGTCTCATCCTGACCAAGCACAGTGGCAACAGTGGAAAGGAAAAACTCTCATTTAAAAGGAAGAAACCTCCAGCAGAACCAGGCTCAGGACAGGCAGCCATCTGCTTTGACCAGCTGGGTTTGAGAGGACAGGAAGGAGAGGCAAACAAACACAGAATGGCAGGTCCCGATATAGGTCCAGGTGTATCTGAAAAACTAGACACATGTCAAGGATAGAAAAAATAATTACAAGTACAAAACAGCAGGTTGAGCAGAGTAAGTAAAGACAGTAGTATAGTGAAAAGGTGGTCTGTTTGTCCTCCAGCAGTCTAAGCCTATAGCAGCATAACTTAAGGGATAGCTCAGGAAACCCAAGCCAATCCTAACTATAGGATTTATCAAATAGGAAAGTCTTAAGCCCAGTCTTAAAACTTTCAGCCTTACGGACAGAAACTGGAAGTTGGTTCCACAAGAGAGGAGCCTGATAACTGAAAGATCTTCCTCCCATTCTGCTTTTGGAAACTCTATGAACCGCGAGTAAACCGGCAGTCTGAGAGCGAATTGCTCTGTTAGGAAAATATGAAACAATAAGATCTGCAATATAAGATGGAGCTAGGTTGTTGAGAGCTTTGTAGGTTAGAAGTAAGATTTTGAATTCTATTCTGGATTTGACAGGGAGCCAATGGAGAGAAACTAAAACTGGAGAGATATGAACTCTCCTACTAACTCCAGTTAAGACTCTGGTAGCAGCATTTTGGATCAATTGAAGGCGTTTTAAAGAAGTATTTGGACATCCAGATAGCAAATCATTGCAATAGTCCAGTCTAGACGTGACAAATGCACAAACCAGTTGTTCTGCATCATTTTTAGATAAGATGTTTCTAATTTTAGCGATATTACGCAGGTGGAAGAAGGCAGTTCTAGTAACATTTTTAATGTGGGGGATAAAAGACATGTCCTGATCAAAAATAACACCAAGGTTTTTAACATTGGAGTTGGAGGCCACATTAATGCCATCTAAGGAGGGAGAAAGACTGAAAAATGTATTCCTAAGGTGCTCACGTCCAAAAACTAAAACCTCAGTCTTGTCTGTGTTCAAAAGCAGAAAATTTAGGGTTATCCAGGTTTTTATGTCTTGAAGACATGCTTGTAGTCTAAGTAGCTGATTGGATTCATTGGGTTTCATGGACAAATATAACTGAGTATCATCGGCATAATTGCTGCTGTCCAGCCTCTCCTGAAAAATCCAAACCTTGACCCCTCAGTCATATCCAACTTCCGGCCTGTCTCCAGACTCCCATTTGTTTCTAAACTACTGGAGAAAATAGTTGAGTCCCGGTTGAAGTGCTTCCTGGAGGATCACGCTATCCTAGAGCTACTCCAATCTGGCTTTAAACCTCTCCATTGCACCGAAACTGCCCTACTGAAGGTTTTTTAATGACATCTTCTCTTATCCACAGATACTGGTGATTCTGTGGCTTGATTACTGCAATTCGCTCCTGTTTGGTATCAGTCAGACCTCCATTGCACGACTACAACTGGCCCAGAATGCAGCAGCCCGACTTTTAACCAGTACAGGCAAAAGAGAGCACATTACACCAGTCTTGGCCTCCCTGCACTGGCTACCAGTTCACCTTCTAATCCAGTTCAAAATACTCCTGTATGTCTACAAATCGCTGAACAGTCCCCCCCCCCCCCCCCATCTCTCTGATTTGCTACAGCCTTATGTCCCACCACGTTCTCTGAGGTCAGCGGACCAGTTGCTCCTCACAGTTCCAGGAACCCGTCTTAAGCGCAGAGGTGACAGGGCCTTCTCTTTAGCAGGACCAAGACTTTGCAACGAGTTGCCTCTGCTTGTCAGACAGGCCCCTCCCTCTTGATTTTCAAATCCCGTTTAAAAACCCACTACTATTCCATAGCTTTCAACACCAGATGATCTGTGTTTTGAACCTGTATGCTCCACACTGGTTAGTCATTATATTTATTATCTGCAACATTTTTATGTCTATATTCTGATTTACCTCATTTTGTATTTTGCTTTGTGTGTTGCCTGTTTTTCTGTCTGTACAGCACTTTGGTTGGCCTTGTCGCCGTTTTAAGTGCTCTATAAATAAAATGGTATGATATGTTATGGTATGGTATAACAATGAAGGAATGGTTCAGATTTTTTCACATCAGTTTCTGTGGGAAGGTTAAATTGTTTTCTTACAGCAGGTAAGATACCTACTCATAACATTTCCACAGAAGCGCACTTGAAAGACTTTTTGAGCTGTCACTTTAAGAGAATAGTATTGATCAGAGTTATTTTGGTTGAATTACCCATCACCCTTGTCACTTCTCCTTCGTCCTTCCCTTCTTATTTGTCTGAAGACAAAAACAGTTACCTATAGCAGCTGGTGCTCTTCAAAGATGATCATGAATTCTAAGATATCAGGTCAATAAGTGCACTTTGATCATAAATTTAAAGGTTAGTGTCATTCCAGATGCTGCTAATCAAATGCACTTGATTCACTAATCAGCAAATATGTCTCTGGAGGAGCAGAAAGGTTGGTGTTTTGTTAGAAAAGAACACTGCTTTTATAACTCGTATAGTAATTTTAAAGCTTTGTTTCTTTTTATTTCCTTTCACAGAAATAAATAAATGCTGCAAAAGACATTAGTTGAGCCAGATTTAGAGGCAGAATCTGACAACGGTCAGTTAAATATATGAATCTAGTCAAATAATTATTTTTCAGACTTTAACTACCTTCCATAAGCGTAAAGCTACCATCGTCCTTTATTTGCCCTTTGATGACTCCTCCTCAAATGTCCTCTTCCTCTGACTCATGAGTCAGTCCAAACACATCGTAATTGGCTCAGTCTGAGCTGATGGCTTTATGATGTCACTGTGATGAGTCACCGTCAGTGATGCTGGGGTTTAATTATTTCATTTTCAACTCTCGCTCTTTTTCTGTCTTCTGTCCTTCTTGCAGTGGAAAGTTAAAGTTACTGGACATCACTGATAAGAAATAATCAATTTACTTTTGATGTTGCTGCATTTATTAAATCAAATACAGATGGGCATCACTTTCTGTTTGTTGGAGTTTCTTGACTTTAAAATATGGTTAGCATTTAAACAGACACGCAGCAAAGTTGTTTGAACAGACCTGAAGCTGTAATGTTGGACAAAATGATTTTTATTGCACCTCTACACCACGTTGAACTTCAACACACTGAAGCAGCTAAACCATCCTTGCTGTCACTGCCATTCCTTCCCTGTGAGCATTAAAATAATCATCAGAAATCAAATCCCACTGCATGGCTTTGCATTGTTCAGATTATTTTAAAAACAGACATCAGCTGTGGTTTTGTATTTTACATCTAACTGATATTTTTGTGTCTGCTAATGTTGCTTATGCCCCTTTTCCAGTCCTTTTATTACCGGTACAGTTCGACTCAGCTCGGTATAGTACACATTGTGTTTCCTGTATACTTTCAGTACTGGTTCTAGTGGGTGGGTTAAAATTAACGCCACGCGTCTTACCAGCTGGTGGTGGTAATGCTGGTGGTAAGACCCTGAAACAGGTTTCAGTACAGGGTGAGAATTTATTTTGAAGTTTCTGATAAATTAAATTAAGTTCACCATTAAATCTCCAAAAAAACAGATTTTACAAAAACATCTATATTTAAAATTTTATAGGTTTTCTTCATCATTTGATGTATTTGCACTCATGTCTACTTTTATTGTTCAATTTAGATATGTGCTTTTGTTTTGTTCACAAATTATTTTATTTTAGCTTTGATTTAAATTGTAATTCTTGTTTTGTGATTTGTTCATCTGTGGGTTAGAATAAAGTTGAACTAAAGGCTGTATCTCTTCTTTAAACATATTTGAGAGAAATATTCCCGAGAGATCCAATAATTTTGTCTTTTGAGGATTTTTCAGGTGAGTTAACTTTAACAGATTATTTAATAGTCATTCAAGTGAAAACAGGATTTCATAATAAAGCCGACACCATTTATTTTATTTTTTAGTCTTCACTGATAAAAAAAACTTTTTTTTTATACGTAATTTTTTTTGAAAAATCGTTTCCACCCTCCGTCCCAGACCCGTCCAGGTCCGCCCATTCGCCAGGGGTTGGGGTCGGGGTCTGGGCCTTGGCCTCACGTGCTTCTGCAGTTTGACATCTTTTATGATCCTCCGCGGTGACCATCGGAGCTCAGAGCCCGCAGAGCATGCGAGGCTGGATCTCCGGGTCAGCAGCATGGAGGATCTTCCATGGTGACCGGTGGAGCTCGGAGCCGGGGAGATGACGCCCTACCTGGCCTGAGGGGGCTCCGAGGCTCTGCTGGAGAGGACCAGGGGGGAGTCGGGGACTGGCAGAGCTCCATCTAGCTCGCTCCGAATTTTGTGGTTGGCCACCAAGCACAAAAAATGCCTGCACTTCAGCATTAGACCACGGTGTTGTTGTTGTTGTTTTTAATATCTTTAAAATAGGTCCAATTGCTACTCGGGTTCGAGTTATTGCAAATGGCGGATCTTGTTGACGTGAAAAGTTTCTCAACAGCCAGTGACTCCACCCCCTGACCAATCAGTGACCGACAGTGTTCTGACATCATGTTTTGGTGCCGGTTCGGCCCGCTTGGAACCCCAGAGAAAAGGGTCCTGAAAAAAGGGAGCAGTTCTCTGAACCGTTACTAGTGGAACAGCCTTGGAACCGTGCCGAGTCGAGTCAAACCGTGCTTTACAGTTACTAATGGAAAAGGGGCATTAGATGTGGGGACCATCTTGAATTGGGGTAGCTATGAGCCATTCTCAGTCTCATGAGTGCACTTGTCAAGCTTTTTGTGCTGATCCGTACATATCTCCTGCAAAATATTCACCCAGAAACACATGGGGAGTAAATCAGATTGAAAAGCTCCCGCATAGGTGTGTTTGAGTTCAATGGGAGTTAAGTGTGGGTTCAAATATGCAGTCAGTCTCCCCTTCACCCCAAAGATGGGCTCATTAGTTGCCAGAGTGATGAATAAAAGATGGGGCGTCTGGAGATGTGGGGACTTCCTCAGGGAGTCGTCTGGGCTCTGGAAGGATGAATGAACACTTAATGTCTCCTTTCTGCTCGCACAGAAAACTTCTACCTGGATGTTCAAACTCCCTCCTTTTTCATCTGGACCCTTGTGGCGTTTTATGGTGATTTTTTATTTTTTCAATTTTTTTTAAGAGTAATGTTGCATTGTTGCTCAGCAAGAATTTTCATTCATTTTTTATTATTTCTTCCTGCCCCAGGCCGTGAATACAGAATGAAAGTTGTCACCTTTAAGTGCAATCATAAATCATAAGTGCAGGACACGTTTACTGTACCTCCAAAACACGTTTACACTCGGTTTGAGCATTTTTCTCCACTACACGTTTTAGTGTCTGCAGGTTGTAAACAATTCAAGGGTTTTCTGCAAAAGCAGATATTAGTAGTAGGTAGTCTTCTTTTTACAAGTCTAAATGGTCTGATGCATTAAATATATCTCAGAAGATGGGGGAGAGTGATGGAATCAAATATAAAAATAAATAAAAATGAGGAGGATGAAGTGATGCAGAAGAAACTAACTTTCCTGACTAAATAAATAATTAGACATTTTTCTGTTGGCTAAGGTCAATTAGCTGTGGTGGTATGATGATGAGTGCCACAGAATAAATAAATGGTCTTTTTAAAGAATTTCTGTGGAAAATTATCTCTTTTGTTAAAGAATTTCTCAGCTTTTCTAATATGAAAATAAAACCTTAGGTTTTGCATTTAGAGAACTGGATCAAATCTTATTGTGGCTGCTACTTCCAGATCAATTCACTCATTTCGAAATAAAGATAAACAAATAAATGAGCTGATCAATTTTTATCGATACTGGCCACATGTAAAGCATTGGCAATCACCCTGCCTATACACAGGTAATCCATTACCAAGATGGAAAATGAAAATGTAGCAGCAGTTGCTACAACCAGCTTACTACAGCCCATGTTTGAGTTTTTTAAGCAAGAAAGATTATGATTGGCAACGGCTACAGGGAAACTCGTATCAGTCATTCTCATTTTGCCCAGACCCCTCGTGTCAATAGATGTTGCTGAAAGGCTTCCAACCCCTCACAGTTAAATAAATTGGTTATACATTCAGTTAAATTTACTGTAGTTGAATCAAGAAGCCCACTTTTTACATCAATAATGATTAAGGCTGCACAGAATACAGAAATTTATCTCCATATCAACATTACACAGGATGCTTATACAATGAAAAATCATAATCCATTACAATTATATATACCCTATTGTCCAGTATTGTTGCCCTTGATTGGTTGATTGGAGTGAAGAAAGTGAAGGATTATTCTAAATTAAATTGTCATCGATATATTCAAAAATAACATTACAGTGATGTTTTTTTATTATGTAACTTTACTAAAATGTAAAACATATATCCTAATAATAGTACATTTTTGATTGGTCAGTGTTTTTCGACCAAAGGCGTCCATCTGACTCATGAATTGTTGGCTAACGGAAAGCAGATTCATTCTGGCTCCAACTATAATAATAAACAACTCCTGTATACAGTTCTGTAATTCCTGAAGGGTTTCTTATTCTTCTGAGTCTCAACAGTTCCCAGAAATCTATACTGGCATCCACTCATGCAGTGGTCATGGAAACGGGTTACCATCACGTAGTAAAACCATGAACACCCACAGACATAAGCTTTTCTTTTTACAAGTGCATGTAAATAATTTAAGAGCAGTCTATAACATACATTTTTGTTTAGGAAAGTAAATCAATCAACCTTTATTTATACAGGTAAATCCCATTGAGCCTCGAGGACTCATTTACAAGAGAGACCTGATTTCAACAAAGAAAGATGACAACAATGGACAACAGCAACAACAATAAACAGTTATAAAAAAGCATACTACAGTTTTTTTTTTTTTTTTTTTAACAAATAGGATGGCTAAAAGGAAAGGTAACAAAACAAACAAAAAAAAAAAACAGCTAGATTCCAAGACAAATGTAGAAAACTAAAAACAGGAACATGTCAGCATTGGACCCTGCCAGGTGTCCAACAGATTCTTAAAGACACCAGTAAACCAGTAAAAATAAAAATAAAGCGCATTGATATCTGTTGTATGGCTCACATTTTGACTTCAGTAGCCTGAATATGCTGAAACTTGGCAATAATTCCAAAAAGTGCTTATTTGGCAAACATTTTTCTCCCTTCATCTGCTCATCTTGACCCCTTTACATCTCATATACTGTATATAGTTTTTGAGGCAGATTATTAGTGGCAGGATAAATATGTTCTGTGAGTCAAAATTTCATGCATGACGAGGTTTTTTTATTCTAAAATGCCAAATATTTTGCATTTCGTTCTTAATTACTTGGCTTAGTTTGCTTCTCTTTTGTCTACCTTTCTCATTATTTCTTGTTTTTTTTCTTCTCTTTTCTCCTCCTAACCTGAGGGCATGAACGCTTCAACCTCCTAACTTTGTCTGGTCTCGTACATGCGCATATTTATACCCCAACCCTGTTTTTTTTCCTGCCATGGGAGACCCAGTCTGTTTGAGTTATTTCAGAGTTTGTGGTTAAACAAGACAGCCTGAGGAAATTCTCTGTTTTTCTGTTTTCTCTCATGTCTGTGAGCTTTGACTCAGCTGAGGGCAATGGGGAAGCAGTCGGGGAGGATTTTTTAAAGATGTATTTGTTGCATAAAGCATTCCTCCAACAGTTTCATGGTGAGCTTAGATACACACATTTTTTTTTATTCCAAACTCGCTTTCATTTAATAATTCAAAAACGGCTGGTTCAAGTTTGTTTAGTCCAAATGCGACAATGGCACTGGATCCAGGAGGTTAAAAACATTCAGAACTGCTTCCTACATATGTTACTGTAGTGCCCGTACTACATAGTTAAATAGTTAACCAATAGGTTAGATTAAAATGCATTACATTGGTCGGGGCCCTGGGAACGTTATTTTAAAGGTAGCTGTACTAACAGCTTGCAAGAGATACAACTTACTGTTTATATTCAATTTAATGGCAGTCCTCCACTTAGCAGGGAATTATGACTTTACACTTTGTTTAACCCACTAAGAATTTAATTTGCTTCACATATAAAATTAAACAAAGCAACTTTTCAAACATAAAATTCAACCCCAAAATAACACGTTGCAGGCCTGAATCAACGTTTGGGTGCGTGGGAGCTAAAAACAAACAGCTTGTTCGTGCACTGAGCAAATAAAATAAAAAGCACGTGCATTGGTTTAGTTTTGTACTCACAAATCCTTCAAAGTTTGAGATTGGATCGGGAAAAGGTAGATGTGGAGATCCCTTGAATATGGCACTGAGTAAAGTAAGTAAACAGGTGATGTCGCATGGAACACCAAGGTCCTTCCTGGCAGCAACCTCAATGGTGGGATTCCAGTCTGGTTTTCACACTAATCCACATTTCATGCAGCGTACCATTAATCCCGCCCACTCCCATCTGATTTGGCAAAATAAAATGCTTAATCCAATACAAAACAAAGCTGAACAAGACTGACACTTGGCACAACTCAAAGAGTAGGTTGTAAACCTGGCGTGTGGCACCATTCCTCAAACAAACTCTTACGTGACCTTCAAGGAACAGTAAAAATGACAACGGCCTGTTTCAGTCTGCTTAAACTACTTTGTAGATTTTCTTGACCAAATATGAACCGTTTTGAAAATGATTCGTTTTTAAATGACTAACGAGTTTTTATCGTTCATATTTATTCCACTTATCACTTAGCCATTGTTTTTTAAACTCAAATGATATCACTATGAACTTAGTTTAATACTTAGTTTGTACTATATAGCACTGTTCAAACTGGGCTACATTATAGTGGAGATTCCTAAAATCCTTTATATTATTTGTGTTTTTACAGACTGAATGTGACCTGGAAAAAGGTTTGGAGACGAGGAAGTGGGTCCTGTCCGGGATCTTGGCTACAGAAGAAACATATCTCAGTCACTTAGAGGCTCTGCTGCTGGTGAGAAAACACGCTTTTTACATGAAAAATACACAATATAACCCCTTCTTGTAATTACAGTCACAAGGTAACCTTTGCTGAATATCAGTGACGTTGTAAAGTTGAGTCATTTTAACTCCCCTTGCGTTGCCACGGTGATTTCATCCTTTGGCCTTCAACTTTTCTGCTTTGATTCACCCATCATTTCCCAGAGCAAGAAACAGTTATTCTTAGCAAGGAAGTGATAAAACTTGTTCACTCGCTATCTTTTAACTTGCCAAACAGCATTTAGAAGGGCATTACGTTGTTGGGGACATAGTTTTCAAAAGGTTCTAAGGAAAGAGAAACTCTTAACTGTTAAGGCCAAAGATAAAGCAAAGATCTTGTGCAATTACAGTAGTAGTATTTGGAGTAGTGTTTGTTTTTTTAAATCACTCAATTTTTTCTGCAAAATTCTGTAGAACTTACTGAGCTTTTGCCATTTTTATGTTGGTTAATTGAGTTAGCTGTGATGGCCATTTTAATTTAGACTGGCTTCATAAGTTAATTAATTTTAAATGTACCTCAAAAGATTATTTTATGAAAGTTGCATTAAAATCCATCCAGGTGTGCATGAGATATTTTGCGAACAGCTGTTGGTGAAATTGTAAATAAAGCTCTTATGCAATGTGTTGGGGATAAGTCTCAGCTACTACTTTGTACTACTCAAAACATTTTGCTTAATATCTTTAAAAATGGCTTGAGTTGTTACCATGTTTGTTTTTTAAGGTCAATTGGTTTTTGCGGCCGTGTTGAATTGAGTTGAATCCAAAAGTTAATAATTTGCAGATTCACATCAATCAAATGCTTTTTGCACGTTTTATTAAAATCCCTCTGTTGGTTCACGAGATATTTTGGTAAAAGACGGGCAAATACATTATCATCAGTTTTCATGCGCAATAATAAGCCACTATTTACCATAATCACTGAACGCATCACTCCCTTGAGATTTTAAATATTTCAGCCTGTTAAAGACAATTACTTAGAACAACTTTTCATTAATTTGTAGCAACTCTTTAGGGATGTTGGGGGGGTCTCGAACCCTGCCAGTAAAAAATCCTGAACAAGATAATGAAGCCATCAGATCTTACTTTACGGAATCGAGCATTTTTATGTCCTTATTTATTGAGATAGTTTAGTTTGATCTCCTCTGTGTGCTGCATTGAAGTTTGCTGTCCCCCGTCATGGAGCAAAAAGGGGGAATTGGAAATACTCTCCGTCTGGCTGTCCGTCCATCAATGATGCGAGCACGATAACTTGAAACTATGTGAGATACCGACTTCCATTTCAGTGCGTCTACATTTAGGCGTAAGAAAGATTCCTTTCGAAAATTGGATTGCCAGGTCAAAATCCAAAATGGCCTCCTCCATTGATGCATCTCCTCTTTGATAAACCTTGCATAATTTGGAAAAATAAGCAACGGGACAACTTTCTTTTTCATGTGTGGCTATACCTAGACATAAGAATGGTATCTTTTGAAAATTGGGGTGCCATATCAAAATCCAAGATGGCCACCACCATATACATAGTTAAACTGGCCACGCCTATCATTTGAGGAAAATATACTTTCTAGTATTTGTATTGCTTAAAAATATAGTTTCCTCAAATGATTGGGGTTGCCAAAGATGAATCTATGGTGGCCAAGGCCACCAGTGGCCACCTCCTGGCTCTGCCATTGCAACTGGTAATGGATAAATTTGCTCCCTCCGCTCGCCAGGATCCATCACTCTGTGCTGCCTCGAACAAGAAAAAAAATTACCTCTGTTCTTCTACACAGTGTAACGCCACTTGAATACCTTGCAACAGAAACATTAAGGTTTACATACTTGCCTGTTCAATTCCAGTCCAGAAAAACACCCCTTGAAAACAACAAACATTCACTATCCAGGTCCTTCAGCAACGAGGGACATTAGTGTACTACTTGTTTTTTATTTTGTTTTAACTCTTAGATGCCATGTAAGATGCCTTGCAAAGCATTTTTAGGTCTTATTGACAACTATGTTTGTTCCTCTCAGCCCATGAAACCTCTGAAGGCTGCTGCTACGACATCACAGCCCGTGCTCACCGTGGCCCAAATAGAAACCATCTTTTTCAAAGTGCCTGAGCTCTACGAGATTCATAAAGAGTTCTACGATGGACTTTTGCCTCGCGTCCAGCAGTGGAGCCACCACCAGAGAGTCGGGGACCTTTTCCAGAGGCTGGTGAGGCTTTTTAATGTACACACTCAAGGTTCATGATGGCAAAGAAATGGGTAGAGCTATGGAGTTAGTGGGTTTGAGGTTGTTGTCTGTGCCTGTGTGTGTACCCATGGCAGCAGCTAAGCCCTTGGGTGTAATTGTCTGACGTTACCCCTAATTAAAGTGACATCATTGGGCAGCCGGAAAGTTTCACAGCAATGCAGGGTACATTAAAGTTCTGTATCAACCAACAGAGACTAATGGTAAAGTTTGTACATATTGAGAGTTCTCAGAGGCAGAAACCATCAGCTCAATAGGCAAATTAAAAATGTTGATTGGATTTTTGTACTGGAGTGACATCCTTCGTTTTTTTGTCATTTAAAAATTTAAACAAGGTGAATCTGGATTGCTATTGATGTTCCATTTCCACTTAAACAGCTGCTTGCTCTTTTTGTGTCATGCAGCCATTTCTTTCAAAGGATGTCAGGGCCAAATGTACAGCGCTCAGATTCTGTTTAATCATTTTCACAGTGGGTCAATTAACTCACAATGAATCATTTGTTAAATCTCTCCAAAATGCTGCTCCTCTCTCCCACTGCTTACATGCTATGTCTCTCCCCCTCTTGGACTCATTTATGCTTCAACACACACACACACTCACAGAGGGAGGTTCAGGCATGCTTCACAATACCCCCTTTCTGCCTCAGGCAGCTGAGGCCATCACAGCACTGTGTGCTTTGTGTCTTGAAGAAGCTGCTATAAATAGGAACTGCTTTCTCTATACACACACACACACACAAACACATGTGCATGCACAAAATTTTATTAATTTATCTCAGGAGGCTTCCTTTGGGCTCCAGATGAGAGATTAGAATTTAATTTGTTCCTTTTGCCTGCAAAACTGCACATTTAAAAATGGTTAGAATCAAATATTAGCAGTCATCTGTTTTAACAAACAGCTTTTCCCTCTAAGAAAACTGACACGCAGTTTCAGGAAACTATGGTTCTGTGTTTCTGGTATAGTGAAGTTATGTGTTTTATGCAGGGTCACTGTTGGCAACATTGGCAACATCCAGGAATAATGATGCACTTTTTATCTGTAAATTGTAAAAGACTGACACAACTAAACAATGTGACTTTTCCATTACTGGAACATGGACATAAACGGGGCAGAGTTTAACGACTTAAAATTCTGTTGAAATCTGACTTCTTGTGCCGGAAAAATAAGAAATGTCTCCGAGTCTCCTTCATGTGCACACATTATGTAAAATGAAGCACGTGTTTTATTGAATTGTCAGTTTGTCTGGACAGTTCTCCATTTTCTGTGCTTGGTTCAATCATTACAAGACCAGACATGGTCTGAACCATCATTTAACTTTAAATGAATTGTATGGTCATTTTTGGAATGATGTTATTTTGCATACTTAGTACCTCATCAGCCATGACACCAGTCATAGAGCAGAAGTCTTTGTTCAGTCTAGACCACGGCAGTTCAACTAAATTGCACAGGGGGTCACAGTTACTGAAAACCAAGCTCTCAGGGGCCGGACCTCCAGCAGTTATTGTCTAAGTAAGTTTGTTTTATGGTTTAAAATCTAGTTTTATTTCAAATGGACTCATTGGTGGGTCAAATTGAGCTCACCCGTGGGCCTGATTTAGTCCCCGGGACTCCAGTTGAATAGCCCTGGGCTAGACTAATGGCTAGCCCAACGAGGAATACTTTTCTATACAATTTCAGGCTTAAAAAACTTTTTTCTTAGAAACAACATATCAGCGTGAAAGAATGCTACATTAGTGAGAAAAAGTTGTTTCAAAAACCAGAAAAAGATAGTGGACCTTCATCTGGCTAGCTATATTAGCCTAGCCTGGAGGAAGACTTGCCTTTTTCTCCAAATTCTGCTCTATAACTAAAATCACGGCTGATAAGGTACTATTAACAACTACGCTTTTGCTTTCACACATTTGCTCACATTTAAAACACAGTCTCGTTCCTACCCAGACAGTAGCTAATGGAAGTCAGAAGGAGCAGATGTTGAAAAGAGGAAAAGGAAAAATGATAGGTGACAGCCGCTTCTTTTTGAGAATGACGAAGGAAGAGAGAGATTAAATAGGAGTAGAAGAGGTGATTCATATGAGTATTACTGGGGATAGGGATGGCTGTCGACATGGCAAGTAGATTTAGACTGCTGCTACTCTGATAGAGCTGTCTCACCATGACTACGCTCGCTTACGAGTCGTGAAATATCAGAACAAAGAAGACGAGAGACAGAAAGAAGAAAGCAAAAGGCAAAGTGTCGGTGACGCTCAGTGAAAGTCACTGTTTGAAGGCTGAAAATAGGGCATATTCACAGCTGTGATCCTGCTCCCCCTAAACACAAGCGTCACACAAGGAAATCTGTTAAACCAGCTTTGAATAGGTTTATCAAATATGGGACATGCAAAACATTAACAGGAAGAAATGATAAAATTCAGTGTTGCTCTGGTGATTGACCGCTTTGTTTCAGTTGAGCATTTCTCCACTCTTGCACAAATTGGTAATATTTTTTAATAGTACACAATCACCTCTAGATGGAGTGTAATATTTTGATTGCTATCCTTTCCATTATTATGCTGAATTGCTTCAGCAAGTTAGTAAAAACTATAACGCTCCTAAATGTCGTTTTTTTTTTTTTTAATTCTTTTGTACCAAGCTATCTGCTGATATTAGCAGCTTGCTAACATGATACCAAGCAAAATAGTAACAGCGCTTCTATCTAGTAGCAGTTGGAGCAGTGGCGTCTTGTAGAGTTTTCTCCGGGGGGGCTATAACCCCAAAATAGACGTATACCAAAACATATTCTAAGCTATCACACCAGTGTATTTACATGAATGAAAACAACAAAGCAACATTATAATGTCATGTATTTTTTTTACTTTTTACCTAAACCTAAAACATGAATGCACCAGTTTAATGCAATATGGAGATGGCTGTTAGTTAACTTTTTAGTTATTTAATATATTAAAACTATTTATTTTATGAGTATATGTGTTCATTTAATAGCAAAAAAGCAAATTCACATAGCACCTATAAAAAAGTAGACTATTATATAGGGCAAGGTGTGCTCCCCACTTTTCACAGTACAGCACTACTATGACTAAAAACATTGTCAAATACCTACATCGCACAATTAGCTTCCATCTCTCCTGTTCTCTTGCTCTATTTCCCATCACTGTCTCAAGCTGCATTCGGCTCTGGGCGCAGGAGAGGAGCGCCCCAGAATGGTCCTATCTCTTGTATTGAAGAGGAGCTACTGCTTATGTACAACTATTAACAAGAGTCTATGGGCAAACATTTTTGTGCCCCAGGGCGTAAATACATCACCAATCAGACAATATTGATGAACAAAACAACTTTACTCATCATTAACTATAAAATATTTATCTTGCACAACAAAAAACTGCATATATTTCAAAATGGTTTATTTTATTATTTCTTTTTTTTACGTCTTAATCAAGGTAATGTGGTGAGTGGTGGGACGGCACCCTAGCACCCTGTATTGGCCAACCGCCACTGAGTTGGAGTATTTGTTGGGGATAACGCTCAGCTATTACTACACCACATTTTAGCTCATTATCTATAAAACTGACTTGACTTACAGCTACTTTTATGTTTGCTAAGGTTGATTAGCTGTGACAACTACACACACACCGACACGGGCAAAAACATTGATTTAAAGACCCAGAGATGCTAGTATTTTGACACACTAAGCCATAGCTGGGATGTTTGAGTAAGAATGAAACTATGTCTAATTTCTGCCATTTTACGTGTTTGCTGTAATTTGTCAAGACCTTGTTTTTCTAATGTTGTTTTCCACACGCCTACTGTCCAACAGGGCAAACCCTGAGCTGAGAAATCCAAAAACCTAAGCACTTTTTCATCACTCAAACCTATTTTTCTGCTGTGACGATATAGCTGAATTTGGGTGAGCTTTTATGTCGATGAATGGAGCTTTATGAATGTGGCTGGAAAACATTTGGGCACTCTGTTACCTCTGCAGTCAAACTGTCACGGTCTGAACAGCCTCCGCTGTAGTGCAGATTGCATGGCTCAGGGCAAAATGCAGCATTGCCAAAAAAATAACAAAAAACTGCTTGTCTCCTTACTTTTTTTATTTTTTTTGGCTTCACAATGCTATACGAATAAATAAGACATCAATTTGAGATGGTTCTGCTGTTTGAAAATTTCCATCAATTGCTGCATTTTAAAAATAGTTTTAAAGTATTTAGTGTTTTGGTTTTACATACAGCTCATACTCCATTCAACCGTTAGTCACACCATTGTTCAGTAACGTTTAGGAGTTTTTCCACAGGCTGTTGCTCTTTAAAAACAATTTGCCTCGAGCGTTCTGACAGCATATGAAGTTTGTTTCTGTTCACCTCGTGACGTATACCGGTATCTTCTTATGGTCTTTACATAGTTGCCAAACTAGTCAGCAGATGTTTAAAAAAAGAAAAAGTGAGGTCTGTTCTTTCTGTGACATGCCGCTTTGGTGTAAATTAAGAGTAGCGAGACCACAGCTGATGAAATTAAGCTTTATTTACACAAAGTAGTAGTTTTTTTATATCTTAGAAGCAAGATTTTCATACTTAGTGGGGAAAATATTCACCACTCTGGAACTAAAACTATGTTGCAGTAGTGCATTTAGAGCACTTACAGAAGCAAAGATATTAGTTATGGAATAAAGGCAAAGGTAACCGTACTTCAGCACAATCTTAATGCTGATCTTGTAAAATTAAACTACTGTACCTAATATTTAAGCCAACTGTTTTTTTCCTATAAGTTGTTTTTTTATTCTCTCCATTCTTTACATAGCAATATAGTTTGATCATTATGTCCGGACACGCCCATTTTTGCACATTGACCTTCTGTTTCAGCTTTAAAGGGCTGCAGTCGAACACATCAGATGTTTATCAAAGCTTCAGCGATTAATTAAGCTGTACTTCTCTTAACTGTGTGTTCTCAGTATTTTCATGCGGCGAAGAATTGAGTGCACTTGCTTTCTTTTTATTCTTTGGATAAAGTTGTTGAATCCGTTCTTTTCGCAGTCTGCTCAATCACCTGACTGCACAGTTCTCACACTGTCATTAACACAAACAGGAGTCTCGAGTGATGCACTCACGCAATAAATCTGGATAATTTAGGTCCTTTGAAAGTGAGTACCGTAAAAAAAAAAGTTATGAACAGATAATATATTACCTGTTGTAGATAGCTCTTTCATCAATCTCAGTTTAGAGAAATAGGGATTTTTCCTGACCGGTTTGATGAGCCAACAGCTAGCTTGAGCTTGACTAAGGCTGTGTTTGAGTTATCCACTCATTCACTATATATTGTCAGTCATTTTGTAGTGATCCTTCAAATTTTAATTGTAAATTTCATTCACTATATACTGCCCTAGAAACTGGCCATGTGGTTCAGTAAAGTAGTATACAGAAGTTGTACACTACCATGGTGGAAATGGACCATAATACATAGTAGCCTGACACAGTAGGCTAGTTGAGGCTAATGCTAACGTCCGCATTTTCATCACACTCATTGAAAACGCTAAACATCTCTAATATAAAGTAGCGCATCTCCTCTGTCTGAGCTGTGGGACTGAGAAATTATAAGAAAATGCGTATTGGTCCTGTATTTAAAACATGTAATCTAAATATTTGTGTTTTTTTTTTTTAAATGTGTTGTAATTCACATTATAAAATGAGTCACATTTCACACGTTTTAATATTCGGTGGCTTGTTTTTATTATTTACGCACACACAACAATATTAAAATCAATTGTTCTGCACAGAAATATTTTGTAGGTGATAGTAATTTATCATTTTAGTGCATTGAACGTTCTTGTATAGTTGCATTTTGTGGTTGTGTCAAAAGATGCAGTACAACAAAAACTTGTAACAAATGTGAAATGTATTATTTTTCTCAAGTGTTCTGAATATACTAAAATACTATCATATTACACTGCTGTCAGCTTTGCGTTACATGTTTAGTTACACTGTACAGTAGCAGCAGCAGCTAGCTGTAACACTCTAGTGCAGCTTAGGGCGCTTCCATCTGAAATACCTATTTATTTACAAGCAACGATCTTTTTTTGGTCTTGGTCCCACTCAGATTAGCCTTGAGCTCCAAACTGAGGTTGTTTAAAAGCCATGCACAACAGGTAAGATGTTATTTATTTGTAGCCTTTCCACAGAACCCCACTTAAACTCTGAAGTCTCCATTTAAAGAACGGCGCAAACAGATTGAAAAGGTCTGATTAAATGTAGCAACGTGCACCATTTCAAATTTAACTCGTGTTCAGCACACTCAGGTAAAAGATGCTTATGTTTGAGATTCATTTTAAAGGTATGTGTGTGTGGGGGGGGGGTGTCTTTTGACAATTCGTACATAGCCTGTCTTTGCTCTGTCCACATTGCTCAGTCAGCTTTTGTTCAGCAGAATTGATTGTCCTTTTGTTCTCCACTGAGATGAATCCCAGGGCTGACGGGCAGCGTTTGCTGGAATGTAATTCCATCATCCAGCTTCCTAAATGTGCTATCATAGCCTCGGTTACACCAGTCATTAATTACTCGACCCAGCACAGTGCGGGGTCTTTGTAGTTGCCAAGGCAACGAGCAGCAATGATCACCGCAGTTAAACGCTGTTGTTTTGATCCGTCTCTCCTTCGCTGCTTGTTTTGTTCAATTTTTTTTATATATATATTTTTGTTTTTTTTACAGGTCATTCTCTCAGACTCTGCTGACTGGACTAGATTCTCTGTCTCAAATATAAAATTACAAGAAATATGCGTCTCACGTTCGCTCTTTGGCTTATTCAAGGTTGAAGAGAACTTTGCAGACTTGCTGTGTGTGCAAAAAAGAACAATTTTCTTATGCAAACGTTTTAAAATATGTAATTCTTTTTTTTTTCTCTGTCCCTGCTGTCCAACAGGCTAGCCAGCTAGGAGTTTATCGGGTGTTCCTGGACAACTACGAGCTGGCTGTGGAGACGGCGGAAAAGTGCTGCCAGGCCAATGCGCAGTTTGCTGAAATCTCTGAGGTAAACTTTAACTCTTTGGGGATAAATTCTCAGTGTTTTGTATTTTTAATGTCTTTTATATAATCAAAACGACAAGTGAGCAAACTGTTAAACAATGTGTGACATTTGAGTTCTCATGTTGTCCAATACAACAAAAGAACATTAACGTCTATGTAGCGTTTAGGCTGTTAAAGAGGAACAAAAAACTCCCGACACCTCTAAAAACTGCTTAATCCTTTTTGTCTCTGATGTTCTGCACACTTACCATCTGCACAGCTTTTATAAAACCCATGCTTTTAAAATGTAATGTTCCACTAAATTATTCTTTACAAATCCAGCCAGGTGCTGTTTAATGTGTGTTTTGTGCTTACAGGATTGGTTGTCTGTATTTTGCTTTAATGCACAAAAATTGGTTATGATGGTGTGTATTTATGATGTCGTTTCTCACTGGGTTGTAACTATTGATGATTAATTGGTGAACGGCGTTCCTGAGGAAGTCTCTAATCATCTCGATCATAAATCATAATTATTTAAACCAAAACTGACACCTGGTTAAAAAAAAAAAAGGCTTATTTTGTGTTCGCCAAAAGTTCATGCTCAGTAATCAAGGTACAATCAATGTTATGAGTGCTTAGTGTATATTTAGTTGATGTTTTTCTTAGTTCATATCTTAGATGTTATTACTGTTTTTCTTATACATTTTATTGTTGGATGTAACTGGGACCCTGTGTACATAATTTCGCTCCACCACATGTACCACATGAGGTGCGAATGACAATAAAGAAACTCTGACTCTGACAAATCCAACAATGTTCTGCGGGGTCATTTGGACGTTTTTTTTTTTGCTGAGATGTTTCGTCCTTCATCCAAAGGACTTCTTCAGTCTGAGGAGTCACAAACAAACTGAAGTCCCACAAGTCCATCATCTTATTACCAGCAAACTGTTTTTTTTTTCCACTATGAGAGTTGGTGCTTGTGGGACTCCAGTTTGTTTGTGGCTCCTCGGTCTGAAGAAGTCCTTTGGATGAAGGACGAAACGTCTCAGCCAAAAAAAAAGAAAAAGAAACCGTCCAGATGACCTGACTTATTTAGTGTTGCATGCACATTACAAAAATGCAAAAATAAATTTAATTACCCATTGTTTTGTCAAGTGGGATGAAAATAAAACTTAAATTCCATCCAGTCTGCTGACTTGGCTCAGGAATTGTAAATAGATAAGTCTTCGTCTGGGTTTTATCAGTCCTGCCAGTCAGTGTTGAGGCAGTATCTACTTGTCAAAGAGGGAATTCATCATGGCTGGTTAATGGTCTAAGTAATGATGCATGACGCTGAGGATGATGATGGGAGGGTGGGGGGGTGAGGATGGCATAATTAATGTGGAAGTCAATGACCTCAATGCCTGAGCTAAAAGCGCAGCTCAAGACCTTGACATGATTTTATGTTGCTTACTGAGATGGGTTTTGGACACATATTTATTTCTATTTAAACAGAACCTGAAGGTGAGGAGCCCAAAGGATTGTAAGGAAACAGCCAAGAACTCTCTAGAAGGTCAGTCATCCCATAATTTTCGTCGTTTATTTAAGTAATACCACAAATTAGTATGTTTACTTATTATATATTTAGTTGTAGTGGACTAGGCCTATGTCAAAACTGAGTCTTAGGTCAAAACTCTTGACCTTTAGAACCTTGTGGGACAGGAACTGTCATTTCATTCATTTGAACTCAGAAATACAGGTTCACCCATCCTGAGACTTTCTTTCTTGAAGATTCAAGTGAAAAGAACACTCTCTTTTTATTATCATTACTATTTTACAAATGTTGATAATCAAAATGTCTTAGTTCAAACCATTTTAGATGTTGCAGTGAACTAATCAATTTTATTAACTGAGTAATGATTTTTATTCTCATGTCAAAGCTGTTACAGAATAATTATGCATTTTCTGATTTCTGCCTTTGAGTGAGCAAGTGTGCGTTTCCAAGGTTGGAGTCAAACGAAAAACAAGTTGTTGAACGAACTGTCATGTTTTTTAGAATCCTCTCAGACGTAAATAGAGAAGTTTTAGCACCTGTTTCTGAAACGCGCCAAAACAAAACTCTCTCTGTCTGTGAGAACATTTCTGATCTGTTTCATAACAATTCTCGCTGTCTCTAACCTCTTACGTCACAAAACACACCCCGTCTGGTCGTTTCTGACCAATGAACAAATCCCAAAAGTGAACCGGGAAAGAGTCTTTAAAATGTCAGTACTTCCTGGTCTAGTCAGTGCTAAAGTTCTGATGGAGTTCTGCTAAGTCTGGTATGGTGCTGGAACCGTTCTGGGACAGTTCTGATGGAGTGCTGTTGGAGTTCCTGACATGACAACAAAGCTCTTCCGAGTTCCATGGGATTATAACATTTTCCACTGAGGTGAATATGTGTCGAACAGAGCCTCGCCATTACTTCGGACGAGTAACAGCATCCTACTGAGACGCTGAAAGGGTGCGTTAAACGGAATCTCACCTGAGACATCTCCAGGTAAAGGAGCCGATTTCATCACCTAAGTGTACTGTAAGGAAAAGCTGAAGAAAGCCGGAGAGTGTCGATTCTGGTGAACACTTACTTTCCCTCACACACCATCTTACTCCCTCTAAACTTCTTTCCATCTTTAAACTTTTCTATCAAGTAGAAATTCTTCCAGATATTTTAGAAATGTCTGTGTAAAATGCTCACCCACATTCATGTGGGTAAAAGATCATAGTTGTACAGTTTTCATAAGTGTCTGTGGTGAAGCAACGGAAAAATCATGGCCGTATGATTTTTCCTGATTGATTGCTTATGTTGTTATTTTCATAATTTGCCAAATTAATGTAAATGTTTGATGTTAAGTTTTGATTCTGTAAATAAATGACCGCATTCATTTTGATGGGTCAAACATAAATGACGTCTCACGTTTGCATTTCCTTAAATTCAATGCACGTTTTATTCAGTCCAGAAAAATGAGGAATCCGTGTTAAATGATGAATATATCCCAGCATCTGTTCATCTACATAGTGAAATCACTCAAATAAAATTCTGTGTCTGTATTCTGTCGTGTTCTGTTTGTAGCTTTGCTGTATAAACCAGTGGACCGAGTGACCCGCAGCACATTGGTGTTACATGTGAGTAAGGGAGCTGGAAAATCTTTCCATAAACAAAACAACTGTGTGTTTGTAGCAGATGCGGTTGGTTCTGAGCTAACTGATGCTAGATGGATCCAAGAGGGCATGACGGGAAAGCACAGAACACAACCAGAAGTTTATGTTTATTGTAAGGAGTCTCAACTTTCTGCATTTATACAAGAAAAAAACAACAACTTTTAACCAAATGTCAGAAGTAGGGATGCACGATATTATCGACATGGTATCGGTATCGGCCAATATTAGCGATAAAGTTAAATATCGGACATCGGCCATTCCATCAAAATAACTTAATAATAAAAAAGGTGCTGCTTTATTTATATATATAAACATATATACATACATAAATATTAAGGCACTGTTTTTGTATGACTGAGTGTTGTCATTGTGTTAGAGAGAGTAAATGTCATGAATAAATTTGACATTAAACATAATACAAGTTGAAGTGTTACATAATTTTCAACCCCCTTTTTGGCATCTGCATTTGGTAGCAGGCCAAACTGACAAAGACCATACAGAATAATGTCGTATTTTAATTCTACAACAGAGAAAGCTATGTAGTCTCTATAAGTAGGTCTGGGGGGAAAAAAATATCGGTATTGGTATCGATTATCGGCCAAATAAGTTTTAACATATTGACATATCGGATATCGGACAAAAATCCAATATTGTGCATCCCTAGTCAGAAGTACTGTGCATTTAATTGACAGATTTTTATTTTGGACCCAGGTTTTCGTAAGAAGGATGGACTTTTTGTAAACCTAAATATGAAAAATGTAATTATGTCTAGGCATTTTTTTATTTATTTTCCCAACTTAATGCTCCTTCGTCTCTTCAGGATTTACTCAAACACACACCCACCAGCCACCCAGACCACCCGCTCCTGCAGGACGCCTTGCGGATCTCTCAGAACTTTCTGTCCAGCATCAACGAGGAGACGTCAAGGCGTCAGTCCACATCTGTCAGGAAAGGAGAGGTGAGAGTTCATCATTTAAAACAAAAGCTTCTTTCTGTGGGACACACACTGTTTCAAGGACAACTCCATAACGGTTGATAGGAGGTTACAATACAGAAGCTCATCATCCATGAAATGTTTCTGTTAGATGACCATTCTGGACTGCTGATATAACACTTTATCACCCAGACACTTTTACTACAAAGTCATACGGTTGAAATATTTACACAGTGTGGCAATTAACAGCTCTTTTGTCTCAAAACGTGATTGTTCAGCAGAAATGGCAGCGTCACAGAGGTGTAAATTAGCCATGACATGACCTGAACTTCACCTCCACACCAACGAGGATAGTGGTTTTTGGACTTTCTCTTCACAATAAACCAAAATATTCCGGTGCTTTTCACACTGGATGACAAAATATAAATTTCTGAACAACTGTCAGCTACTACCACACTGAATGTGAGCCCAGTATCTATACAAGTGACTGAGTTATAAACATCTTTGTGTTTGGGATTGCTTTGCAGCGGTTGATGAATCAGTTGTAGATGTCAATCCAGTAAATATGCTCTAAAAGTTTCAATAAAACGCATTCAGTGATTCATGAGATATTTTGCTAACAGTACAAACAAACAAACAAAAACATTATCGCTTCACCTTCGTCTCTGTCGGTGATCGATTAAAGATTGTAGGGAATAAATTTTGTTTCAACTTTTTTCAGCGATAAACTTTTTCACTCTGCATCATTTTGACTTGTACCTGTTAGTATTTGGGGTCAGTGATGTCACAGCCCCCCTCCCCCCAAATGACTTTGAAGTCACTGACAGACGGGTGTAAAGCAACCACCAATCTGCAGCCTTTAGCAGAGCCTGTGTCCTTACATGGTCATAGCAGCGATGCCTCGATGAGACTGGTTCAGTTTGTGCTACACATCCCCCCCCCCCCCCCCCTCTTGAACTAGCACAATATACCCCCCAACCAATATTCCACCCATCCCTGGAGATGACTTGATGCACATGAATGGATGCCCCTTGATTGATGTGACACCACCATGCCCAGGGCCATGTAATATGCCACCAGTTCGCTCTGACTGGCAGATTTCTAGTTAAATATTTATTAATGGTGGGTGGGAGGAGGTGAGACGAGCAGGCTCCTCCCTCTGCTCACATGGGGGTCATTACTGCACCCTTTTTACACACGCACACACTTTCCTGCTCTTTGGTCCATATGCTTTTGGAACACACACACACAGTTCCTTTATTATCCCTGCAGGCCTCAGTTTCCATCTCAGTCGGCTGAGGCCTTCACACTCATCATCAAATATTTATCATGGACACATGAAAGGAACTCTTGGAAATCAATGGGGCTCATTATATTGAGCCTTACAAAAGACTGAGTAAACAGTATGCCTTAATTTTTCTTATTTTTTGTCGGCATTTCACCAAATAGAAGCTACCATCATGCATCAAACAGAGCTGATGCCCAAAAGAAAACGGTTTAATTCAAAGATGCTTTAAGTTAGTTAAGATGTTTTTAGGTTCTGTGATTGTAAACAATTAATATCTTACTTGTTGTATAAAGGTTGTTTGAACAACCTCAGTCTGGAGAAACTGACTGTAATTCTAATTGGATTAATTAACTTCAATTCAGTTTATTTAAATAGTGCCAAATCACAACAGAAGCTATCTCAGGGCACTGAACAAACACATTAACATACATTATAAAAGCCATTTAGTAAAGTTATCTATCTAAGGATGCCAGCAGATTGCACTGAATCTTCACTTTGTCATAGTCTCCCATCCTAAGCAAGCACAAAGGCAACAGTTGAAAGGAAAAACTCCCTCTTTACAGGAATAAACCTCCAAAAAAATTATTCCTAAATTGCGCAGGTCCAAAAACCATAACCTCTCTCATGTCTGATTTTAAAAGCAGAAAATTTAGGGTCATCCAGGTTTTTATGTCTTTAAGACATGCTTGTAGTCTAAGTAGCTGATTGGATTAATTGGACTTCATGGACAAATATAACTGTGTATCATCAGCATAACAAGAAAAAATTGTCCCATGCTGTTTAATAACTTTGCCTAATGGAAGCGTAAATAAAGTAAAGAGTATTGGTTCAAGCAATGAGCCCTGAGGAACTCCATAACTAACTTTGGTGTATAAAGAAGATTCATTCTTTACATTTACAAACTGGAATCTTATCAAATAAATGTGAGTTAAACCATTTTAGAGCTGTTCCTGTAATCCCAATATCATATTCAAGCCTCCGTAAGATATTGTGATCAACTGTATCAAGTGCAGCACTGAGGTCTAACAGGACCAACCAAGCGGGACCAAGTCCAAAGTGGATTGTTGCCATCTGATCTCAAAAATTCCATAGCAGTTTGTGTAAGAGCTTAAAGCCTTTACACTGCTATCAATTTCACATTACACAATCATTTACTTACAATTTTATGATTATTTACAAATGTATCTAGCAATAGCCATAGCCATTGCAAATATTCAGCAGGATTAAAGTAACATTTCTGTTGAAATAACAATGCAATGAAAAATTAACAGTGGTGTAAAGGTTTATAAATAGCAATCATCTTATGAACCATTTGGAAATTAGAGTTGTTTAAAGATCGCAGCAATCCACTTTGGTTTGGCCGCATTTAGCCTTAGCTTGTCAGTCTGATAAGAATTAAACTCTTCACTTAAAGAGTTATTTACAACAGGTGAGATATTTATTATTCATAACTAACTATTGAAAACTGTCACTTAAAGGGCTTTTGGTTTTTACGTTCTTATTTCTATGTTCAGTAATTGGATTTGAAAAGAACTCCATTGTTGTACAATTGACCATTTTCTATTTGAATTTATTATTTAAAAAAATAAAATCACCGTTCACGTCTCCAACAGAAATTTACTTGTTTTTCAAATCACAAGATGCAAAAGTTCTTGACTGCAGCCTGACAAAGCCACTCTGAGATCCCACCGTTCTGAAGGCATGTCAGGTTCACACATCAACAGGGATCTTTATTTTATTTTATTGTTTGTTTTATGCAAATAAATGTGCAAATAACACTTTTATTCATGTTAATTCTTTACGATTGCATGTTGTACCTACATAAATACAATCCACTTAAAAAATCGGAAGCGTTCTGGATATTTATCATTCTCAATGGCGTAATAGTGATGAATAAAATATATTTACTCAATATTTCAGCATAAGTGTAGCAGAGTTACGTTAGCTTTTTTTGAGCATGCCATTTAGCGCTGCACATGCATCAACCTGCTGTAAGAAACTTCTCATAAGAGGAGGCAAAAATACATCATGCATCCACCCTGGTGAGCAACACTCGGCTTGATCAGTGGAGGCACGCAGGAGTCGAGCGGTACAGGTGCCCCCCACCCCACCCCCACTGCCCAGAGTTCCCTGGCCTAACGCCACGAGGGGAGGCGATGAACAAAAAGCGCTTAATTAAAATGCAAATGGCGCTCATGTCCCCACTCAGCTTTGTTTGCCTTTGAGAACAAAACGTCACTGATGTGAGTGTTCCTACTAGAAGAGCACACATTAATTTACACAATTGTTCACTATTTTGGGCGGTGCTGTCTCCATTGACACACTTAAGATAACAAAACCACACACAAGAGGTGTCCTCGTTAAAGCATATGTTCCTAAAATAAACTAAAGGCTCTTACGCTTTCAGTGAGCCTTCTCCAGGATCTGGTGAATATTTAATCTGTCTTCTGCTTTCATGATGTATTTATTATTGGTCAGCTGCAGCAGGAAACAGAAAGAAGTTAACTTTCTCCACTTGGCTGTTAGATGGTCTGTACATCTGATGTGACGCTACAGCTGCTTTCTCAATATTACTGACCTTTTTTTAGTAGCTAAGCAAAGCAGCTACATCTTGCACATCTTAACTTGTACATATATTTATTTATTGAGTTGACTTTACAGTTTTCTGATTAAAAAAGACTTTGGCCAGTTTGATATGTATTAGATGGCATTAGGTAATTACGGTGCTTTTTAAATTGTAGTCTGCAGCTGTACTTCCTGTTCATAGATCAGAAATTTAGTTCACTATAAGAAGCAGCTGAGTCATTCTAGTAACAACTAAAGATTTTGACTCATGAAATGGCACTCTTTTATTTTATTGTAATTAGTGCACATGCATGTCTGAAAAGCACTCTATTCTCTATTCTTTTAATTAGCAAAATTCAATCAATTAAAAGAAAACCGCATCATAAAGGCCAAAAATATTCTCATTTCTCAAACTGCAGACAAATGGATCAGAGAATCTAGTTTGAGACGGGATGATTTTATTGTTTCTTTTACTTTTAACATCTATAAAGCAATACAGTAGTCCCTCGTTTATAACAGGGGATTTGTACCCTGAAGACCCGCGATAAATAAAAAACTGCGAAGTAGGAATAGTAGTACATGTAGTAAGTAGTAGTTTATTTGTATTATATATATAAAGGTGTTTTAAATCCTTCCCACACTCTTGCAATATTCTAAACAATGTTTCTAAACGCTCTAAAGGAGCACATGATGTCATGATTTCAGCTCCCTGCCTCCTCTGCTTTTTGCCACCTGCAAGCGCTTTTGGCCACGCCCACTTCTCCGCTCTGCACGGAGAACAGCTGATCAGCTGCAGCAGGAAGTTTATCCGACAGTATGGGCTGCACAAAGGTGCAGCAGGTGCTAAATAATTTCAATAAATTTATTTTAAATAAAAATTCCATGCTGATCGTGCGGCTCATCCATCAATCAGCCAATTGTGTGTCATGTCCAATCTTATTTTGAAAAACCACGATAGAGCAAGTTCGCGAAAAACGAACCGCGAAGTAGTGAGAGACTATTGTATTAACATATAGTAATGTGACACTTCGTTTCATTAAAACACTTAAACTGGAATATTCTTCCTTTTCTCTCAAATAAATTCAAAACTTATCAGTCAGCAAAGAGTTTTGCTTGCACAAATTTAATATCATAGTGATATTTGCGCATGCAGACATTTTGAACTGGACTGGCAGCTTTTTGTCTGCTGCTAAAGTCATTCTCGCCGTGTCAGGCCCCCTCTTAGAGTCCGATAAATAATAAAACTCTTCGAAGGACTGCATATCACCAGCAGTTTCAAATAAAAATCTTGCCCAAGTTGCTCTCAAAGTATGTGATGGGGATGACTCTCAGCTGATACCACAACAAATTCTAGTTGTTCCTCTTCCCCCTCTCCTCCATCCTTCCTCCACTCTCCCCTTCATTCATTTTAACTCCACATGACACAGAATGAACCCTCTCCTTGGCGTCAGATGCTCAGTCGGGCTTTGGAAGCACAGAAACTTTCTCTTTCATTAGCCTCAGCTCCACTCCAGCGTTCTCTGGCGGTGACATACTGTGCACTCATGATGGAGGCGGGAGGAGGAGGAGAAGGGAGACGAGGGGGAGGTCACAAAACTCGATGACAAGGCTGTGGTTGGTTCTGAACAAGCATGATGTCATGCTCCGCGGCTTTGCTGCAGGGAGGGGGATCGGCTGATGGAGGTTTGTGGGTGGGAACGGGTCACGCTTGAGCTCAAGATTTCCTGTAGAAGAAAATAAATAGTTTTATAGTTTGTGTTGTTAAAATGAGCAATAAAAGTTCTTATATTTGTTGGAAAAACCCAAAACATCTTTGCTGTTTTTTTAAAGGGCAAAAATCCTTTAATTTGCAGATTAGCTGCCATTTATTGTATTTTTTTTAAATCATCACATTTATATATTAATTCAGATTTTTTTGTTTATTAAATCTTAAAAGAGATTACATTAAAAGCAAAAAAAAGCAAAATACATGACTAATAGAAAGCAAAGAACAAATCTCCAAGTTATTAAATCCTTTTGTTTTCATACTACAAATAAAACTGAGGTCATGTAAAACGGTGACATTTACTATAAACTGGTTTGATAATTTCTCTGCCACATTCTCAGGTTTTTGACTCGTCAGTCTTTAGAAAATGACATTACTGCCCCCGTTTGGTCAGTGGCAGTATTACACATCTCATTATATAGTCTGACATCAGCGATAACTCCAGACCTCCAAATATCTCTCACTGACTGAAATCGGATTGTTAAAATGAGTTTCATGCAAATCACTTTACGGTTTTTCAAAATCTGGTTTTGGATTGTGCTTCAGCACAAAGACTCTGCAAAGTATGACTGCACCGACACACATAATAATAAAATGTGCTAATATGCTGTGCTTCCACCGCTGAAGTTCGGCTTGTGCAGCTGACCCACTGCTGTTGTCTCTCTGTGACGCAGAGCCGCCAACTGTTGAAGGACAGCTTCATGGTGGAGTTGGTGGAGGGAACCAGGAAGCTGCGACACGTCTTCCTCTTTACGGACCTGCTGCTCTGCGCCAAGCTGAAGAAACAAATGGGAGGGTAAATAACATCTTGCCAATTATTCACTCTTTGTAAATAAAGTCACTCCACAGCAGTAGTGAAATCTACATGTTGACGCCTCACTCAGAAGCAGATGCGTAGATGTTTAAGGTTTAAAAATTAAATACATTGCCCTTTACACCTTATGTAAAGCTATAATGCACATCTGTCATGAAAGACCCGTGAAGGCTTCACTAACGTTTGATCTGAACCTGAATAAATGACATAATTTGAACCTGCTTCATTACAGTTCTGTGAAAACATTCAGCCTCTAACAGCTATTGCAGTATGATTATTCGTGTCGGCCATCTTGAATTGGCTTGTTTCCAAATGTTAATGAGTTGAAGTTATAGATTACTTCCTGAGAACAATTCATCCAGTACTACATGAGATATTTTGCTAACAGGCAAGCATGGTTAATGCCAACATTTATTGCCAAGTTTTTAACTTTATTTGTCTTTAAACAACCTATTGTTGCTGCAGCGCAAGAGATTGGTTTGCATCGCTGGTAGTAAATCAGACACCTTCAGGGTGGGAGCTGGACTCAACCAGGGCTGCCCATTGTCACCAATTCTGTTCATAACTTTTATGGACAGAATTTCTCGATGCAGCCAGGGGGCAGAGGGAGTCCGGTTCGGAGGCCTCAGGATTCCTTCTCTGCTATTTGTAGATGATGTGATCCTGTTGGCGCCATCGTGCCGTGATCTTCAGCTCCCAGTCGAGTGTGATGCGGTTGGAATGAGGATCAGCACCTCCAAATCTGAGGCCATGGTCTTCAGTTAAAAAAGGGTGGATTGCTCTCTTTGGGTCGAGGGTGAGGTTCTGCTTCAAGTGGAGAAATTAATCTCGGGGGTTTGTTCACGAGTGAGGGAAGAATGGAGCATGAGATCGACAGACAAGTTGGTGCAATGTCTGCAGTGTTGAGGACTTTGTGCCGGTCCATTGTGGTGAAGATGGAGCTGAGCTGTAAGGCGAAGCTCTCTGTTTACCAGTCAGTCTATGTTCCTACCCTCTACTATGGCCACGAGCTCTGGGTAGTGACCAAAAGAATGAAATCATGGATGCAGGCGGTTGAAATGAGTTTCCTTCTCAGGGTAGCTGGACTCTCCCTTAGAGACAGGGTGAGAAGTTCAGTTATCCGGAAGAGACTCAGAGTAGAACTGCTGCTCCTCTACATCAAAAGGAACCAGTTGAGGTGGTTCGAGCATCTGGTAAGGATGCTTCTTGGGTTCGGGCATTTCTGATTGGGAGGAGACCCCGGGGAAGACCCAGGACACCCTAGAGAGACTATGTCTATCGGTTGGCCTGGGAACGCCTTGGAATCCTCCCAGATGAGCTGGAAGAGGTGGCTGTGGAAAAAAGATGTCTGGGCCTCCCTGCTCAAGCTGCTGCCCCCGTGACCCGACTTCAGAGCAAGTGGAAGTGGACGGACAGACGGACATATTGTAAAAAATGTGCTTTAATGCTCAGTCTTCGTGGTTTCTCAATGATCTGAGCTTTAAAATGAGCTGAAACCTGGAAACTCACCTCAGTTCAAAATAAATTCTCCATAAGGTTCATGTGTAAATACAGTTAACCCATTTCTTTCTGTGATTTGATGCTTTTTAAAAAACTAATCCGTGTCATTGAGTCTGCTTTACTGTTCCACTTCCTGCTTCAAGCCGTCTCTGTGTCTGTTTTCACCCACTTCTCTTTATCCACACTCTGTGATTCTCTCATTCAATCCCATCGTAGTAAAAACCAGCAGTACGACTGCAAGTGGTACATCCCCCTGACCGAGCTGACCTTCCAGGGTCTCGAGGAGACGGAGCCTCTCACGGTCCCCCAAGTCCCAGACGAAGAGCTTGACGCCATCAAGGTCAAGATCTCACACCTCCGCAGTGAGATTCAGAGGGAGAAGGTAAAGCAGATGTGCACAGGTTTGCAGATGTTTAGCAGCTGGTGTTCCTTACAGCTAAATGTCCAGCTACTTTCTGAATTTGCTTGTTTTCTTCGTCATTTACTAACAAGTGCTTTCAATGCTGTGATTTCAGAGAGCCAACAAGGGTTTAAAAGTTATCGACCGCCTCCGGAAGAAACTATACGAGCAGGAGTCTTTGCTGCTGCTGACGTCTCCGAGCATGCCCCTCAGACTCTACAACAGGAACGGAAAGGTGACGACCGTCTGCTGCTTCTTCTGCTCTTCATGAAGCTCTCAGAACATCTTCATCTGACTGACTGGAGTCAGTTTGATGGCAGCTGCAGCTAATCTGCATTAGCAAACACACAAATGGCTATAAATTAATCAGATATCGATCTACAGTTTGGTGTGGTGGTATTTAAGAGCCATCCACAAATACTCTAGCAAGCAAAGCAGTGGCTAATATGTATTTCTTTAGGGAACTTTATTTTTATGTGTTTTTTTTTTAACACTGTTTTTCAGAGTTACAGCTTCCTGATTTCATCGGATTATGAACGTGCGGAGTGGAAGGAGAACATCAAGGAGCAGCAGAAAAAATGTTAGTGCCACAAAAATATCCTGTCTGGTCTAATAAACTTTTTTTTTTTGTTAACATCCAGATTAGGGCTTGGCGATATCTCGATATTTTTCAAATAATTTCATATGCAATATAAGATGTATCGCCTATATTGATATTTCTACATTGCGTTATAATTAGATTTGAAAATCTGTTGAGTTCTTTTTCTCTCGTCTGCACCACCGGCTGCATGCGGCTCCGTCTTCTTCCTCACTGAATACAAACACTACAAACACATCCCTTCACGTGCTGCTTCACACATGCTTACGTCATGAAGGCAGCGCCGCTGAAAAGGATTATTGTTTAATATATGTAAATTATTTTTTAGACATTTATTTTATATAATTACAACTGTTTGTTAATAAATGTGCCTGTGTGACAAATGGGACCAAACTTTGACACAGAAATACTTTTTTGTTATTACTTTATGGCAAGAAAAAAAATATCGAGATATATATCGTATATCGCCATTTATCTTAAAATATCAAGATTTTAAATTGGGTCCATAATGCCCAGCCCTACTCCAGATGCAAGTTTGGTAAAACTTGGGCATATATGCACTAGACTTGAATCTCGTAGAAAGAAACTTCCTGTAGTCGACAGTTTTATTTGCAGTGTTGCTTACTATAAATGTATCGTCTACCTTTAGGTATTAAAACACCCTCCTTGACTTCCATGGAGCTGCAGATGTTAACCAGCTCTTGTCTCAAACTTCAAACCGTTCACCACATTCCACTTAGTATCGATAAAGAAGGTAAGCTACTTTTTTCTTCTTATGAGCACTCCTAAAAATTAGATTTATGAGTTTCATTCACACATTGTCTGCAATACAGTGATGATTCTTTCTGCCTGATTTGGCTCCAAGGCGACTAGATCTATATGTTTTTCTAATCTGTCCCTTTTTTTTTTTTTTTTTTTTGCACGTTGACTGTTTTTCCAGAGGATGAATCCTCTGGTCTCTTCGGGTCCCTGAATGTAATTGTCCATTCTGCCTCCGGCCTCAAACAGAGCTTAAGTGAGTCACTCAACTTCCTTCTTTATTCAAAAAACAGAAAATCAGGGGAATTTATGTTAAGAAAGAAAAACTGTAATAGAACTAACCATTAGACTATTATCATTATTGTAGACTAACTTTATTTTGTTTAGCTCCCTAATGCTTTAACTCTTTAATGATTCATTTAGTCTGTTTTCCAACCAAACCTGTTTTTTCCTGTTTCCTTCTGTCTGTCAGATCTCTATTGCACATTGGAGGTGGACTCCTTCGGCCTCTTTTCAAATAAAGCTAAGACGAGAGTGTATCGGTACACCACCGAACCCAAATGGAACGAGGTAATGACGTGCGCTCAACATTTTCCCAGCTAGAATTAAAGGTTTTTCTCATGCTGAACTCAAATTTGCTCACATTTTTTTACAGTACGAGTATCAATACATACCTTAATTGATTCTGCCTGTCATGCATCTGCTCCTTAAATCAGTTGACTATCCATTTCTGTGTAGTGAAATATTTCTGATGAAACCCGCAAATGGAGCATCTGCGGCTCCTGAAACTACATGCATGCGGTAAATGCATGTATGTAGACACAAATGCAACATGTGGTAGTCTTTTTACCGTCTACAATGACCATAACTCAGTCGTTTTTACAGATTTTGATCTAAAATTTGATCTGGTCGTACCATAATCCCTGATACATATTCTGCGAGCTAACAAATTCCACAAGATCTTTGTTTAAAGTTTCGCCTTTTAACTCTTTGGACTCCAATCTGTTAGCAAAAAATATCATGAGCCACTGAATGGATTTTAACTAAACACACTGATAACTCAGCCACTTTTACAGATATTAAGTAAAACTTTGATATGGTAGTAGCTAATAGTGATTTATCACACATAATGTTTCCAAGGTTTAAACAAAATAGCTACAACTCTTGTCATTTCTTAACATTCTGGCATAATGGACAGCAGGAGATACACATTTATTTAAGGATTGTTAGGTTGTTTATTTAAACTGAATCTTCTTTGGGATTTCTGCTTGGCCATGTGGAAATAATAGAAATTAATGAGGAGCAGCAGTTTGCAGTGACTCACATCTGTCCAAAACTCAACGAACCAAAGCAGTGTTTGTCTCGCAACAATCTGCAAACCATACGCAGAGCGATTCCTTACGTAACACAGCAGAGAATGTTACTGGGCTGTAAGAGCTTTTTGTTTCTTTGCGATCGAACCTCGTGCTCGTCTTTGAATTTATTTGATACAAAATAGTTTCACACCTTTTTTTTTTTTTTTATCGTCTTCTCTGCAGGAGTTTGAGATCGAGCTGGAGGGCTCTCAGACCCTGAGGTTGCTCTGCTACGAGAAGAGTTACAACAAGACCAAGCAGAACAAAGAAGACGGAGAGAGCACAGACCGTATCATTGGGAAAGGACAGATACCGGTACGACATGACATCATCCCCCCCCCCCACACACACACACACACACACGCATAAAATCAGCACTGTGACTCAGTACAGATAAGAAGTTATATGAACACTTATGCCATGAAATCCACACTAATTCTTCAGGAATTGTGTGGCATGGCAAGATACATAAATTGCTGAAATTTGTAGCAGATAGGTCATTTGAACAGAAAAAAAGGCATATCAGTGTTTAAAACCCTAAAACACAGATCACTTTAGCACCAAATTTCATGTGAGTGCAACCATTTTTAATAGAAGCTGTAGCGCTTTATGCTGGCTGGCTTCAACACAGTCATGCAGAAGTGTTGATGACATCAGTGCTGTTTTGTGTCCTCAAAATCGCTCCGACTCCCGTTGTCTGTCTGGCTGTGAGGCGGACCGATCAGATGATGACAAATTGAACGTGTCAGCTATTAGGTTGCCAAGACAACACCGGTCTGAAGTCGTCGCCGGATCAACAAAGGACAAAGATTCAAATAAGATGTGATTTTCTTCTTTTGCTGCCCGTTTCTCATGCGCATCATGGCTGATGTGTGTGTCTGTGTCGGTTTTTACCCGTATCACGTTTGGTTGAGTTAAACTGCAGGAGACAAGCCTGCATCCTTGTTGTCTGGTAAACATACAGACACGTGCTCCACCTAGTGGTTCTCTCTGTAAACCTGAGACCTGGTTCCTTTTGGACAGATGACGTCATGGCAAATAAACCTGCAAAACTGATAGAAATGTTGCTCAGCTGGGGTTCTTTTCTTATTATAAATTATCCAAGTGTAGAAGATGTCATTTCTGTCACATGTTCTGTCCAGTTTTGGCTGCGTCACCAGTCGGTGAACTGAACGCCTGAACATGATGTCCTGGAGTTGGCAGTTTTCTATTTAGCTGTGCTTTTTTTAATTAGACAAACTGATTTAGTTTTGTATTTTTCCTGTTTTTCTCTCATTTGTCTGTGGCGCTAGTCTTCTGCAGGTTTTAATTACAGCTTTTTTCAGCAACCGCAACGTTACAGAGGTCTTTGAATTTAGTGTAAAAATGCACAGACAATACAAAGGCAGTTCTATGCAGAAAATATTATTGCACAAAACTACAGTTTACAACTGATTCTGGTGCTGGCACGTAGCATTTGCTTATTTTTCTACATTTGTTCTACTAAAGTTGGTCTCTCTTAATGAACTACAGTAGTCCCTCGTTTATCACAGGGCTTAGGGGACCACGCCCCCCACAATAAGTGTAAAAACTGCGAAACAGGAATTCAGTAGTTCAAGTTCAAGTAAACTTTATTGGCATTACCATCTCATGTGGTACATGAGATTAAATGAAATTACACAAGTATTAGTAAGTAGTAGTTTATTTTAATACATATGGCTATAATATATAGATATAAGGCTTTCTAAACCCTGCCCACACTCTTGCAATATTCTAAACAATGTTTCTAAACTCTAAACTCTCTAAAGAGAAAGAATGTCATGATCTCTGCTGTCTGCCATGCTGCAATCACACTACTCACCAGTTTCACTCCCAATCTACCTCCTTGTGTAAATTAAACTATTTAAATTTAAATATTGTAACATTTTAAATAAACAATCCATGCATGGATTGTTTATTTAAAATATTGCAGTATTTAAATTTATAATGTAGGGAAGAGAGGTGCAGCAGGACAGCGAAGGGTTAACCCTTCACAAAGCTGCTTCAGAGGAGGCCCACTCGGAGGAGAAGTGTGGTTGTAGCAGAGTGCCGCAGGTGGCAGAGAGCAGAGATCATGACAGGCTGCGGAGGGAGCTTCTCCCTGCACCTAATGATTTAGCAGATGCTAAATCATTTAAAGTAATTTATTTCAAATAAACAATCCATGCCGCTCATTTGGCTCATCCTTCAATCAGCCAATTGTGTGTTATGTCCAATCTTATTTTGAAAAACCGTGAAAGAACGAGTCTGCGCAAGTCGAACCACAAAGTAGCAAGGGACTACTGTAATCTCTTTAGTAGAAATTTGCCTGTCTTGAAAATCATTTTCAGGACGAGAGGGCATAAACCTTCTTCTAAAGTCTATGGCCTGTCCTAAAATATCAGAAACAATCAACAGTGACTATTTTGTGCTTTTTCACCAAGTAGTGTGAATGTCCTGAAATATATATTCAGTTGAAATGATGCCACTGGTTCCTAATCCCAATAATTAAAAATGGTTCATTTATGTTTTTGATGTTTTTTCTCAGCTCGACCCCCAGACTCTTCAAGGCAAAGACTGGCAGAGAACAGTTATTCCCATGAATGGGGTGAGTGGGACACAAAATGTATTATTTGATCAAATTTATATAATTATAAAATCTTTCACCACCACCTTTGACTTCTAATAGTTTTACATTCATTATGTTGTTAAAGCTTTTATTTATTTGTTTCGGTTTTGTCTACACACATTTAACACACAGTGATATTTCTTCTATGCAAAGGAAAATTGTTACAGATTTCTGACCTGTTTCGTGGCTTCTCATGTAAGAATTTGTTGGAATAACATTTTGTTTGCTTGCTTTGTTTCGCCCACGTGACAGGTTGAAGTGAAACTATCCATAAAGTTCACCAGCAGAGAGTTCAGCCTGAAGAGGATGCCTTCAGAGAAACCCCTGGGGGTGTTTGGAATAAAGATCTCCACAGTGACCAAGTGAGATCCCATTAAAATAAAAAATACAAGCTTAAATACACTAATACACCCAAATACCATCAGTGAGGCGGTCTTTTAAATATGTTATAATATACAGCATACCATACTTTTCTCAGTATAAGTCGTACCTTTTTGCATAAATTTGCATGCCCTGCGACTTATACAGCGAAGCGACTTATTTGTGTTTTTCCCATATTTATAACCCAATTTTTGGCTGAGATCTGACGATTTCATTCATTCTGCCATGAAAAATATTAAACATGACCATTTTCAACCACTAGAGGGCGCTTGAGTTGTATGGCAAGCCAAGTGTTTCATTGCTAAGTCAAAGTGGCTATTAATGAGACACTTGGCTTGCCATACTAACCCACCTTCATCTTGCGCCTTAACTCCTGGAGCAAACGTCAAATCAGCTGCATTTCTCCGCGCCGCCCAGGCGAAATGCAGCTGATTTGACCAATAAAGTGCATTTATTAAGGAAAAGTTCTACTGAGACACACCTTTGTTATAATGTTGAGCAAACAAATAATTGTGTTTAGGTGGTTATCTTGTTAAATTTTGAAGAAATGCACAGTGAGTCCTCCCCCTGCGCGCTCCCGCAGCCGCAAATCGGCTTTTGAAATGCAATGACGTTAGGGTTGTATAATTAAAATGAATTAGCTTTTGGCAACAATCTATTTCTGTTTGATCTGCAGAAACAAATCCACATTATATTCCATTCAATCAAAAACAGTGTCCATGTCAAATTCTTACCATTTGTAGTATTCATCAAGAACTTTACATGTTTAGATTATTAATTAACAATAAATCTGCAGACTTATTAATGGCTTTGGGAAGTTGTACAGTAGGTCAACAGGAAGTACCGGTACAACTTCATGGTCGCCCTTACAGGATAGATGGATGTAAAAAAGTTACAAGAATACCTCGGTTAGGACTGCAACTCAATTAACAGTTGAGCCTTTTTTTTATGTGTTCGTCTTTGTCCAGGCGAGAACGCTCTAAGGTGCCCTACATCGTCCGTCAGTGCCTGGAGGAGATCGAGAGGAGAGGCATGGAGGAAGTGGGAATATACCGTGTGTCAGGGGTGGCCACTGATATTCAGGCCCTGAAGACCGCCTTTGATACCAGTGAGTTCACACTGAATGCTTTGCAGGCTTTTCACAGCTTCTACGAGCGTTTATAAAAGAACACAACTGTTTATATTTTCTTTTTTATATTACCAAGTGAAGATTTTGTAGATGTGAAACAATCAACCAGACATTTTGGCTAATTTTCTATGCCACTTGCATGTATTTGCTGATAACTGCTTGCATGTTTTGTGACGCGGGTGCTCTCTTGTTAACACTGTGACAGCGAAGAGGCACAGAAACGGGCGTTAGTACCAAAAGTTCCCCATCTTGTCATCTTCTTTTCTTATTGCGTCCCTCCAGTCGTCACTCAGCTCTCGTCTTCCCCCTGCAGATAACAAAGATGTGTCGGTGATGATGAGCGAGATGGACGTCAACGCCATCGCCGGCACTCTAAAGCTGTACTTCAGAGAGCTGCCAGAGCCCCTCTTCACTGACGAGCTCTACCCTAACTTTGCAGGAGGCATCAGTAAGACACCTCAGAGCACTTCTAATTGATTTAATTATCAGTTTAGACAAATAATTAAGGCTTTTGTTACGTAATGCACTTCAGCAACACATAAAACAATAATCTGGTCTTCCTTTGCAGCCCTCACTGATAGTGTTGCCAAAGAGAGCTGTATGTTGAACTTGCTGCTGTCGCTGCCAGAACCCAACCTGGTCACGTTCCTTTTCCTTTTGGATCACCTAAAGAGGTTTGAATCAATACCATAAAAGACATATTTCTGCTTCCTAATATATGTTTGTTTATGGAATCATTTTCAAGATGCATTAAAAAAAAAAAGGTTAAAAACAAAACAGCTGGACTTTATTTGTAACTGAAGACGTTTTGCTTCTCATCCGAGGAGCTTTCTCAGTTCAAAGAAACAAGGAGTGTGGGATTCAAGTGATAAGGTGTTCTGAAAGCTTGCATAATGCAGATTGACACATGCAGATTGACCTCTCGCTCTTCACAATAGAGGATTGTTAGGGTTTTTGTTAGTCCCATCCAGTCCTAAAGCTGCATTGTAGGTTTTTGAAAGCTGAAGTTTGAGACCTCCTCTGTTTAAAGATGGTTTCTCTCTTTTTGGATGACTGAGAATCTTCATGAGCACATTTTCAAGATGGCCACCAGCGCACTGGTCACTGATGGACTTGTTTGCTTCATCCTCCCCCAGGGTGGCAGAGAAGGAAAGTGTCAACAAGATGTCTCTTCACAATCTGGCGACGGTTTTCGGGCCCACTTTGCTCAGGCCAGCAGAGAAGGACAGCAAGATCCCTACTAACCCCACACAACCCATCAGCATGGGGGACAGCTGGTCCTTGGAGGTTATGGCACAAGTGAGCTAAACACCATCTTTTTTCTCCCTTGGCAGTTTATTGTTGAGCATTTGAAGCAACCAGCCTTATTTTTTCGTCCTCGTGTCCCTGCAGGTCCAGGTGCTGCTGTATTTCCTGCAGCTGGAGACAATCCCCACTCCGGACAGTAAACGGCAGAGCATCCTCTTCTCCACTGAAGTGTAGAGCTGACGTTCAGTTTGTGTGACCATCAGGGTGCTCAAAGGGGACGGACCCTGGCTCAAAGTGAGCCGACTAGTTTGTTTTTGAATTGACTTGGCAGGATCCACTCTGGCGGCTCCTGCTGTGCTCGAACACAAGAGGGCGCTGCGCTCAGAGGACTGGAAGTCATTGCCATTCATGTTTCTCATCATAACCTGGTGGTTCAACAGGTACAGCTGCCATCTGTTTTCACTCGTCGTTTGTCTCAGTGCTGAACGTTTACATCCGCGGTTCATAAATGACGTAATGAGATCTTACATTTGAGTTCCTCGTTTGCTTTTCTTTTGGACAATCGTTAGCAAAATGTGTTATTCCACCTCAAACATTACTTCACGCCCCGACAAGAGGACAGGCAAGAAGAGATTGTGTTTTCGCTGTTCACTGAAGCTGTAAGTCTGCCATCATCTTGTTTTTTTTTGTTTGTTTGTTTTTGTAAAAGCACAGGAAGCCAACGCCTGCGATCGTGTTTACAACGTAAACCAGTTGGAGTTAAAAGCTACGAATTGAAATTCAAAAAAAAAAAATTTATATAAAACCCAATTCTCTTTCTTTTATTTGTGTGTCGAGGAAGTTTTCAGATCAAACACCCAGAAGCAATATATTTTCTAACATAGGAACTGTTTGCGCTCGTGTCTCTGCTGATGAAATGTCCGTCTTGTTGTAACATAGGACGTCTTGCCAAACAAAAATTTTTTTGTTTGTTTCTAGTTGCATTTAAAGAAACTGCGCGTGTATATAATCTTAAAGTTGTATTTTTGTTTTATTTAATGTTGCTGTTATTGTAATTTATTTCGGGGGGAAGTGAGGAAATCGGTGTTTTTCTATTAAAAACGTTCGTCTCTTATAGAAGTGTTAGGTCTTAGCCTTGACTTCAAGTCTTGCAGTAAATAGCAAGATTTTGCCTTTTTTTTTAATAAATACTCCTCACCATTCAGCTCAGCCTGTCAGTCATTCATGTAGGGAACATGTTAAAGGTAACACGTGTTGTAGTTACAGATGCTGCTGTGGGATTTAAAGGCACAAGGCTTTACCTGCTGGGGGGGTCCTCAGCAGGTAAGTCCAGAGACCGTCGCCCGTCTAAACTTTATGCAACGCCATAATCCAGAACACGCAAACACCTTAGGATATTTTCTTTTATGCTTTTTAGTCTGGCTGCAGAAGTGGACTCATGCAATATTAAAACTACTGTATTACTAATCAAGTGGCCTGAGCGTTTTGCATTTATGCCCTGTGTTTGTTATATTTTTTAATGTATTTTTTTTACTATTTCTATTTAAGAACCTTGCCCACTGAATAGCCAAACTTCTACTTCTATTTGTTAGTTTTTATTGATTTAACATGCAGGCATGTTTGATAGGTTTTTTTTTTCTTTTCTTTGTATTCTTTGTATTTTCACAAAGTGTGTCATCTTAAACTTGTAATTTTGGTTGTTTAAACGACTAAAGCTTGTCTTTTTATTTCTAAACTATGACTAGTTTTCTGACAATATTCAAACTATCAACCAATTTTCCTCTTTTTAATACCAAAATGGTACCGAGCCGTTACCAAAATAAAAGATCTCCATTGGTATTCTTTCAACCTCTATTTTATTTTTACTGGATTTTTAATGCAAGTAGCATTAAATCTACAAAAAAAAACAACTTCTGATTGGGAAAACGCTTGTTTTTAATATTTTGTATATATATATATATATATATATATATATATATTTATATATATATATATATATATATATAAATCTGAAAAATAGAGCATGCGTGTGTATTTTGCTCTCAAGACTCAATTTTGTATAGAGACACCTTTTTAGAAGACTCCCATCAAGAATTTCTGTTTTGCTCCAGCTGTCCTTCCCTTAACTGGAGCCAGTTTCTCAGTCCTTCTGATGAGAAACAGCCCCACAGCATGATGCTGCCGCCACCCTGCTTCGCTGCAGGGAGTGTGTTCTCAGCATGATATAAGGTGGTAGAGTTGCGTCAGACTTTGTCTTGATGGTCTTAAGGTAATTTCAGTTTTATCTTACAAACAGTCCAGCTTCTTTTATTCTTTGATTACATTTTTGTCCTTCTTTCTTAAAATCTGATGTTCTTTGGTCTCCTGGATGTTTCTCTTATTATTAATGTCCAGGATGAACATCTTTTGGCAGGTTTTGCTTTGGTATCATTTTTGCATTTCCTAGTGTTGGATTTAATTTTGCTCTGTGGGATGTTCAGGAATCTGGGATATATATATATATATATATATATATATATATATATATATATATATAATCCAACTCTGATCAGAACATCTCAACAACTTCATCTCTTACCTGGATGGGAAGTTCTTGTCTTCATGATGTCTCTTGCTCGTTAGTAGCCCTTAATACTTAATGGTGTTACAACAACAGGTGTCATTTGACAGGTATCGGTCATTTGACTCTAAGATTGTCCACAGGTGGATCTTATTTCACAGATTATGTAGCTTCTGAAGATAACGGTTGCTGCTACAAAGCAAAGGAGCAGAATACACATGCGTGCACCACTTTTCAGTTTCATATTTAATTATATTATTTGTTTCCCAATCTATTTTCGCAATCTGGAGATTTGAAAATTCCAGCTGATTAGTCAACAAAATAGAGATTAATAAAAGGGATGAATGTTTCTGCAATGCACAGTAAAATTTATAATCCAAGGTTTCCCAGCAGAATGTGTCATTGAAAGAATTACTAGTTATTCCTACAGTTGTGATGTTCAAATTGTGGCCGGTGGGTGTTTTTAAAGCTGGATATGTGGTTCAAACAGTTTATTATGGTTTGTTTTCATATTTAAAATGGCTATTTTGGCTAACTAGTCCTTTTCAATACCTCTATTTGTTCAAATCACATGATTTTGACACCTTTCTGTTTTGTAGATGATACATTCTGTTGTGCTATGCTGAAGATATTTACCTGTCAGTGATTTAATTTCCTGTTTATTAGTTTGAATCACTGTAGCACGCGCACGTTGCCAGTTCATCTGTATTTTAGGACGTGCAAGGTCATAAATCTCCTGTTAATTCGGTCATATTTCGTCTTTACAACAAGCCCCAGCTGCCTGCACTACTCAGCCCCTTTGTGCCTCAACACTTGCTTTAGTTTAGCGCCTGTGGTTCTCTGAACGCCACTGAAAATCGGTTAAAAAAAATAATAAAAAGATGCTCTTTCCTCCTGTTGCCTTCACTGAGGACACACACCTCTGACCTCTTACAGGCTAAGACAGGACCTTAAATTCAAACACGGTCTTAGCTCGTCCGAGTGTTCGACTCCGTTCATTTGACTGTGATGCTGTATAAGTAAACGAAACTGCTTAAGTGAACATTTCCTAATGTTGCCTTTTTTTTAATAATTCTATTTATTTATGATTTCATCCAGTTTGGTGCAAGATGGTCTGTTTGATCTATTTATTTATGCTTATTAAAAAAGTAATCTAAAACTAAATTAATGTTAGAAAATTGTCTTTATATATTGTGCTTTCTTTAGAAAAGTCTAAATGTGTTAATTAGCATTTGTTCATCAAACATGCTTTTTGTTTTTTTTGCCAGGATCGTGACCACTAAGTAGCGCCGCAAATGACCTTTTCAAGCCTCAGATCCGACTGCGTTTCGTTATTTGAACAGCAGACTGGCCACTGTGATTGTTTTAGAGGTGGTTGACTCACGGCTTGTATAAAATGTAACATACCAGAGAATACATCATTCGGTTTCTCATTAACTTATTGTGGTGCTCGCTGGCGTATGACTGATCATTAAAGGATCGAGCCCGTTCAACTTTAATCCTTTTGGAAAGTCTGAACCTCCACTTTGTGTTAGAGGTGAGAAATCAACAAATTGTTTGTCACTGTAACTGCATGTATCCTCTATAACCTCAGTCTCAGCCAAAAACACGTCTTTTTTCTGTGAACTTGCCTAAAGATATGGTACATATTGCATTTATTGTACAGGATCCTGATATTTATTTCCATATTATAGTGAATACTTTCACATGACCCTCTGCTGCCACTTTTCAAACACATGAAGGGACTTTCTTTGGGGAATATTCAACATTTTGTTCATTCAGCACATAATGATTTAGAGTCCGGGATGAAATTTGTTGTCCAAATGCAACATTTTTTTGTTTTTAATTCCGTTTTCTTACTCTTGTTGAATATTCAATGTTTTGCTTGAAGAGCTGTAAAAAGGAATACTGTCTTCTGAGGGTAAACATGTTCGAAAGGCATTTGCAGCCTTTGTTTGTACACAATAAAGTTAAATAAAATCTCCTGTATCTACATAAATGATGTTGATTTTTTTTTTTTTTTTTAATGACTTACTGAGGAAATAATCTAAACTGATAAAGATGCCTTTTAATTTAAAGTGTGAGTTCAACTCAAATACAGTTTACAGACTGGTTCCTTTAATTGTTCGTATAGTGAGCATGTGTAATATTAATACTAATGAGATATATTACAAAAACATATTTGAAAATGTTTCAGGGTAAGTTCATTTTATGGCAAAGTTTTGCTTATTTAAAAAAAGGGATGTTGACGTTGACGCACAAAATGTATAAAGAAATGCACTTTTTTTTATCATTTCTTTGAATCTGACTTAATTGTTTTATATTGTATTCATAAAAAAATAATTAGTCAATGCCCCCTTTTTATTTTGTAAGAAAACAACTCAGCTTATTAAGAAACCTCAAATCTGCAGTTTTTCCAAGGTTTTGAGAATCTAGACCAGGGTCTGCAACCTTTGCGATATAAAGAGCCATTTTTGCACCTTTGTTTTGTAATTACGATTTCCGGAGCCGCAAAACCTGCTACAACTGTGCACAGTCAACTGGTGGCCCATGGACCACTAAGTTTGTTGGAGATGGCTTTTCCCTCCAGTGGGGGTGATATTTTAAAATGAAAAATGTCACCATTATTTATTGATGCTTTTACATTTTAATACAAAAGAAAATACCAAATTCACGTAAAGAAAGAAAAAAAGATATTTGTAAATAATTTTATAAAAATTAGAACTCTGCAGGCCAATGTGTGTTCTCGTAATTGTTGAAGAA